ACGGAGACCCATGCCTACCTTTATTATTCGGCCAATGTTTAAAAGCTGGAAAACATTCAGGCCTATGTCCTACGTAAAATATTATAAAATACATGATAGTAGTTCAACAAACAAATTTGCACAGAGTTCGAACGTACTTCGAGCGAACGAACTTTCGAAGTACGGAACTTCGGAAGTTTGACTGTATTTTTACTTCAGAGAAATAAAGTATCTACCCGTTTCGGTCATTTAAAGGATTTATTCTTTTAAAAAAACGGTACAAAACCTTACGCCGTACGTAGATCTTCATAAATATTGGCAACAGAAATACTTTTTCTTTCAATTCTTTGTTGTTGCTATTTTTTTAAATACATCCGCCATTATTACTTGGGAGTTGGTACAAAGATATTCCGAATATAGCGTTAAATAAAAACACAAACCATACTGTATAATCGTGACTAAATGCCGTCGTAGCCGGATATAGCATTGCATTATTATTATATAATTATTATTATTCGTATCGATTTAATCAGGGAAATATTATAAGATTCTATTATTATTTTGAAATTAGACAGTTGATGTATTCCGATATGAACACGGGTCTTAAATACAAGTAATATGGCCTAGATTTTTGTAAACAAGATATGGTCTTTATTGCCATGAAACGGTAAAAAAAACGTATTACACCCATGCTGTTGTTCACACTTATAAACAAGAAGAAACGTTAAAAAAGATACCCGGGTGAAGTAAAACTGTTTAACATTGCATATGTTAAGTTGTAGTTTTCCATGCAAAGTCATAAAGAAATGTTAGCATAACTTGCATAATGTTCAATGACGTAATTTAGGTTCATGTGGAACATTTTAAGATCTATGTGTTTCTAAACAAACCTGTCGTGTTTTGGTAAGTGAACTTTAATTTCTAACACCAACATCTACGCAGTCGGTAAGGCAAATATTTTTATAAATACTGGATTGCCGTAACGTAGCAAAATACAAGAAAACAAAAGTTATCAGAAGAAATCCAGGACATCTTTAGAGTTATTAGAAGAACTCTAGGACACTTGAAAATCGGACATAAATTTGCTAGACGGTGCTTTATGTTTGCAACTTTCCATTATAATTAGGTAATTAAGTATGGCAAGGAAGAAGATGACAAATGAACGCGACAATATGTACGAAAGAGCAAATAATTTGGTAAATGTACTCAAAACTAGCAGGTTTTAAACAAGAGGCGGTGAAAAATTGACTATATTTTTTTCTGACACTTAAAACAATACAATACATTGTAAGGCAAGTTTAATCATCAAAGTTTAATTCAGCACCCCAAACTCTCTTTAAAGATGAAAAAAGCTCGAATTTTTATATTTGAATTATCGGTCAAGACGAGTAGTGACGATTATGTTATCGCATAGTTAAATATAAGGGAGATAACACCGTATTGATTAAAGTGAAGAATCATGAATAGGTTGTCTCCAATTAACAAACATCGGTTATCTGTAAGCATAATTATGTGTTAACCCATTACTTCATGAGCATTTTGTGAAAAATGGCTGTTTTCAGTTACAAGTTCAAATTGCTATAAAACTATAAAAACTGCTTCAATACTAATCAAACTTGGCAGAAATGTTGACCATTGACCAAGGACCATTGCCTTTGTAACAACATGCTCAGGCTTAAATTTCCTGTACCATGGAAACGAGGGAACATCTCAAAAATTCCCAAAAATCATTATTTTGTGCTGATTTTTTCCATCAAAATTGATTTCAAAGTGCTGCAACTTCTCAATGGATTGAGATAGAGTCAAATGCTTTTCAGCATTGGTTACACGTTACCTTTTGATCGATCTGGGGTAATTTTTAGCCTCTCACAAGTCCAAAATTTTCTTGGCGATGAGGGGGACTGCCGCCCCCTTCAAACCCCCCAAACAGAAGGAGGCATACCCCTTTTCTGGCAATTCCCTGATGTATCATTTGGATGGGGGCCGCGCCGAAAAAGTGGTCACTTTTTTAACATTTCTCAAACAAAAAACAGTCTTTTGGGCCTAAATAGGGTATTTTTCACTATTTGAGGCCTAAAAGTGGGGGGGGGGGGGTGTGAACGTGCGTTGTTTCGCGTATATATGAGGTAAAGGGTTAATATTAAGGCCTGACTTTAGAAAAAGTTCATAATATGGTTAAAAGAGGTCTTTAAGTTACCTTGGTATTGGATTTTTGTGTATGATATCATTTTTTTTTTATTTTCTCCATGCGGCTGTAGTACTGTGAATATTCCTGTCATCATTACGAGGGATTTTAAAACGCCGATGACGACGACGACGACAACAACAACAACAACACAAGCACACGCACACGCACACACACACACACACCATCGCGCGCGCGCGCGCGCACACACACACACACACACACACACACACACACACACACACACACACACACACACACACACACACACACACACACACACACACACAAAAGCAACAAACCAACAAACAAAAACAAAACAAGCTTAAGTTTCTGCTATTCCCCTGGGTAAGCAACCATAGGAAGAACAAACCAAATAATTACTATCGAAATAGCTTGTACACAAAACGATCAGTATAAGAACTATAGCTGGTTTTAATATCAACTGACTGTCCGTCTGACGCAGGGATTTGTCAATCGCTGGAAGAGAAAAACTTGATAAGAATTAATTTTGAAATGAAGAATATATTTAGTTACTTTCCGCTTTAAACATATTTTAGTTAATACGTTATAAGATTTGAGGGTTATCTTGGTTTTATCCTCTGACTACCAACGTCTTATAAGTACATGTAGATCATGATTGGCATGGAAAAATAATATATTTCACAAAGTGCTGAATAACATTTCTGTAATGTTATTCTGTAATGTTAGAAAATTATGTGTCCCCAAGTACTGCATTTGTTACTACTATTCATGATGGAGGAGTACTTGAAGTAATTGTATTTCAAGTGTGTAAAATCAGTAGAAAGAAAAACGTTTTCGGTCCTAGCATCGTCAATATATATACATGTATAAATAATACGAAAAGAACAATCACACTGTTATCATATTATCCTAAAACTTAACTGCCAGGCATTTCTAGGGCATTTTGTAAATGACTGACAAGGGATTTCCGGTTCAAATTACGTCTGATCCTTATAATCTCTTCAGTGATATACTAACCATGCAATGTCGTCTGATAAGCACGCATTAATGGCGTCTGTCAACAGACATGAATGTGAGATATAGAGATCATCTGATGTAAGAATGTCAAGGGAAACTTAGTAATAGGAACGTTACTAGTCAAAATACTTTTTTTTCCAGAAAAGTTATAAGTGTGTCGGTATCAGTTAAGCACAAGCATTAGGAATAATCTAGGATTCAATCTTTTTCACAGATAATTTTAGAAAGACTACCTATGGAAACGTGAGCGTAATTGGTAAAATGTAGATCACATTCGGCTAAATTTCTCTATCACGGATATTCGTGGCATGACAAATTTAGGAAGAAACATTTCAGAGGCGTTTCGCCATAATCTCTGGCTTAACAACATGCCTTATCTTCCTATCAGAAGTCATAAAGGTGTGGAAAATTGATTTTCATTTTTGCCCTCGGACAAGGTCTAGAAGGTGAACAATGAAAATCATTTTTTTGTCAGCAGCTTTAGTTCTCTTGTCCAAATAAACAATAAAAAGGTATCAATTTTGATAGTATGACTTTATTTTTACGACATCTTACAGTATCAATTCATTGATAATAGACTCATTGATAAGCTTTATGTCTACACATTAAAGATCCTGTAACACATTTTTTATGATTTTATTTCATAAATATGATGCTCAAATTAAGATTTGTCAATATTGTAAGTTCCAATAAGCATTATTTATAAAGATTTTACCCAATTTAACATTTCATGTAAATAAAGGGAGGTAATTAGAAATTTACTTTCTAAAAATTCTAAATAAGAAATGCATGCATGTAATTTATTGATTAAATATAATGTGCACAAGTATTTGCAGTACATATTTTACATATTCTTGGATGTTTGAAAATTGTTTTATTTGCATAATTATATACATATATATTTTTTTGCAAGTGTGGTATACACACAGTAACAATATCAATCACAAAGCATACAGGATCTCGAAATGAACTTTAAAGAACTAAACAGATGCGAACGAAATTCAAAATTCGATGCCAATAAGCTAACTAGATCATTCATAATCTATCCACTTAAAAAACAATAACAACAACAAAAAAACAACAACAACAACAATACAAACAAACAAAAAAGTTCTCGTGGACCAACATTTCTTCTGTCTTTGTTTCTGTCGCTTTTCAACGACTAGAGGGGCATATACTTGATAGGTTTAGGACGAAAGCCATCGGCCAAATGCCTCTAAACTGCAGTTTTATTGAAAATGACGCTTTATTTAATCATAATTATCAAGTAATCCCATGCAGACTTATTTAGACTTTCACCTGAGCATACAATTTATACCCTAAGATGGGCATAATGTCAATTACCTCAGGGCTAAAAGTGGGTACAAATCCGTGAGAGGGTTACAGATAACGCCTGGACGCCTTCAAACCTCAACACCAGTAAAGATAAAGTTGAAGACAAACCATTACACGTCAAATACATGCAAAAATGCGAATATCACTTTGTGATTTTAATTTTTTTAAAATACAATGTATTGTATTTTTCATCTCCTATAAAAGACAGTAATTTAAGTTCTAAAACAACATTCATCTCTCTTCTATTTGTAACTGTAATTATTTCAACTGCATGGGAAATTGCAAAACTATTTTCATATGAATTTACAGAATATTATAACGAAAAGAACTTTAATTTATATAATATTGTCTTACTTTATCTTTAATATGAGACTTCAGACTTTAATATAAGACTTCAGACAGTTAGGAGAAATATATCGCTAAAATTTTGATATTTAAACAACTTGCCTGCTTGGAATGAAAGAGAATTATCTTTAAATTTATTGACACCTGTCCACGTTGATTAACCTTATCAAATAATATGGGACGGTTTTAAGATTAACGTAAAATGAATTGTTTTATCTTAAAATGCCCTCTATACTAATATGAAAAAGAGGACAACATTTAATACATATTAGACCTTCTTATTGAGAAGTTATTTCAACTCTTTCTATCTATTTCCTTATAATATAGATTGGCATAGATATTGGATATTAGTCAAGATATAGAAGATAAGTGTCACGTATGAAAGAAAGGAAGGTGGAAACCAACAACTTTCATTTCAAGTAAAAATTGGCCATGAAGGTACTTCTCTTGCTGTTACTAGGTAAGTTTTGTTGCATGTGATATATTACTGATTGAATAATTAACCTCTAGATATACAGTCACATGGGTACATGTATTGATAATTAACCTCTAAATATACAGTAACATAGGTACATGCATTGATAATTAACCTCTAAATATACAGTAACATAGGTACATGTATTGATAATTAACCTCTAGATATTCAGTAACATTGGTACATGTATTGATAATTAACCTCTAAATATACAGTAACATAAGTGCATGTATTGATAATTAACCTCTAGATATACAGTTACATGGGTACATGTATTGATAATTAACCTCTAGATATACAGTTACATGGGTACAGGTATTGATAATTAACCTCTAGATATACAGTCACATGGGAACATGTATTGATAATTAACCTCTAAATATGCAGTAACATAAGTGCATGTATTGATAAATAACCTCTAGATAAACAGTTAAATGGGTACATGCATTGATAATTAACCTCTAGATATACAGTAACATAAGTACATGTATTGATAATTAACCTCTAGATATACAGTCTAATGGGTACATGTATTGATAATTAACCTCTAGATATACAGTCACATAAGTATATGTATTGATAATTAACCTCTAGATATACAGTCACATGGGTACATGTATTGATAATTAACCTCTAAATATACAGTAACATAAGTGCATGTATTGATAAATAACCTCTAGATATACAGTTAAATGGGTACATGTATTGATAATTAACCTCTAGATATACAGTTAAATGGGTACATGTATTGATAATTAACCTCTAGATATACAGTTACATGGGTACATGTATTGATAATTAACCTCTAGATATACAATCACATAAGTATATGTATTGATAATTAACCTCTAGATATACAGTCACATGGGTACATGTATTGATAATTAACCTCTAAATATACAGTAACATAAGTGCATGTATTGATAATTAACCTCTAGATATACAGTTAAATGGGTACATGTATTGATAATTAACCTCTAGATATTCAGTCACATGGGTACATGTATTGATAGTTAACCTCTAGATATACAGTTAAATGGGTACATGTATTGATAATTAACCTCTAGATATACAGTAACATAAGTGCATGTATTGATAAATAACCTCTATATATACAGTTAAATGGGTACATGTATTGATAATTAACCTCTAGATATACAGTGACATATGTGCATGTATTAATAATTAACCTCTAGATATACAGTAACATAAGTATATGTATTATATAATTAACCTCTAAATATACAGTCACATAGGCACATGTATGAATAATTAACCTCTAGATATTCAGTCACATGGGTACATGTATTGATAATTTACCTCTAAATATACAGTAACATAAGTGCATGTATTGATAATTAACCTCTAGATACACAGTTACATGGGTACATGTATTGATAATTAACCTCTAGATATTCAGTCACATTGGTACATGTATTGATAATTAACCTCTAAATATACAGTAACATAAGTATATGTATTGATAATTAACCTCTAGATATACAGTCACATGGGTACATGTATTGATAATTAACTTCTAGATATACAGTCACATGGGTACATGTATTGATAATTTACCTCTAAATATACAGTAACATAAGTGCATGTATTGATAATTAACCGCTAGATATACAGTCACATGGGTACATGTATTGATAATTAACCTCTAAATATACAGTTACATAAGTGCATGTATTGATAATTAACCTCTAGATATACAGTCACATGGGTACATGTATTGATAATTAACCTCTAAATATACAGTACCATAAGTGCATGTATTAATATTTAACCTCTAGATATTCAGTCACATGGGTACATGTATTGATAATTAACCTCTAAATATACAGTACCATAAGTGCATGTATTAATATTTAACCTCTAGATATTCAGTCACATTGGTACATGTATTGATAATTATCCTCTAAATATACAGTCACATAAGTATATGTATCGATAATTATTCTCTTAATATACAGTAACATAAGTACATGTATTGATAATTAACCTCTAGATATACAGACACATGGGTACATGTATTGATAATTATACTCAAATTTTACACACACATAGGCACATAATTATATTGATAATTAACCTCTAAATAACAGTCACATAGGCACATGTATTAATAACTATCCTCTAAATAACAGTGACATAAGTTTATGTTTACTTTATTTTAGTAACCTAAAATATTGATTCGTGTGTAGTTAGTGTGTACAATGCAATATGAAATATTATGCTTAAACTTATCACTGCAAAGTTACATAATTATTTACACGTAGTTTATTTGAAAATGAAATACAAATATACATGCATATTTTTTTCTCATAACTTGCATTTCAATTTTAAAATCAGTGATTGTAAGTATCGTTCCATATCATTGCTCTCAATACTTTTTTTTAAGAAAGTAGTAAAACCCCAATAGTAGGGGGTCTTTTAAATACCATGGTAAGGATGATAACTTGTTTTAAAGGTACACTTTATAACGACGAAGTGGAATCCAAGTGCAGTCCTCTGCTAATGTGTCCGACATTTTGCATGAAGGTACAAAAAGGTTGCTATGTCTGCGATTGTGGTAAGTTTTCATTCATTTTATCACCAAAGATGTCTTCATTATTTAGTGTCAATCGCAATTCATGGGGTGATTCATCGTGATTTCTCCCAATAAATATTGTACACCTTATCTTCTATTTATCTTAAATACTAACGTGACGAAACTGGTATATTATAAAAAATCTGAAAAAAGTAAGTTGACTGGAGTCGGTTAAAGTCAAAATTGACGTGATCGTAATAACGGCACGGAATTATAACGTTAAGCAAATGTCAATCATTATATTCATTATCATACGCACCTAAACCGTATGTTCTTTAAGAATAGGCTTATTCATAATTATCACATTTTTTGACGGTTACAGGTTTAACAGTTACAGATATTATTTCTTATTCAGGTACATTTTCTAATTATTTACGCCAAGCATCTGATAAAATGGCTGACAAATCTAACACACAACAACAACAACAAACAGGAACGAGATTGAGTTCATATACCTCAGGATATGGAGTGTCTCGAAATTCGAATGACATGTTTAAGTCGAATAATGACCAACGAGTGCAAGACTATACAAACATGGTAATAAAAACTGATAAACAAGAGACAGTTAAAAACAAACTCCAGAAAGATATTTATAACCTTTTCAGATAAGAACAGAAGACACTGAAACACCGCCTGTGTTGGGTATTTGTATTTTAGTTTTAATCACCCCATTACGTCCTACTTGGCGTATCTTCGCATAGAATTTATCTTTCGTGGAGAGACTGTTTCAAACTATCATATCTGTTATATATATATTCCCGTCAGGACGCTAAATTTATGAGGGGTGAAGGAGCGACATTGTCTTGCGTTTTCACATTTTGACGACCGTAAAATGGCAAAAATGTAATGGCGTTACAAGATGCGTTACTAAACTTTGGCTAGTGACGATTCTTTTTGTTTAAGAAATAACATATCCCAAACTGTGATTTTATTGCTCAATAACATCACTGTTTGGAGTTCGGATGCGGGGAATTATATCACGAGGGCGTAGCCCGAGTGATATAATGATGCGCATCCGAACGACAAACAGTGATGTTATCAAGCAATAAAATCACCGATTTGGATATATTATTCCGATTCTAACACGACATCAACAATTAAATGCTGCCGTACCTGATATTAAGCTAAATTTCGCCTGATCTTTTTCCGTACTTTTTGTCAGGGCGTCACATTCTTAGTGGTTACGTCACTTGTATAATGATTACGTCACATGTCTAAATATAGAACGTCAAACAGTGATTTTATAGCATAATAACACACACTTTCGGTTCTTCTATGTTTAATAGGGACAAATGCTGGTCGTGTTAGAATAATCAATAATGTTTTTCCAATACTGTTTTGGCCGGCCGGACTGATATGTCTAAAATGACGTGGGGATGCATTTCCAGGCGTCCCTGCCATCTTTAGACCACCGAAACAATTTTATATTTGGATATGAAATTACTAGCAAAGTTTCCTTTTGTTTCGACAGTGTTGTTCCGCTTAGCACACACAATCTGGTCAAATTTTGTTGTATATTGTTTCTGGTAGCTAGTATTACTTGCAAATGTGTGACATAACGTCATTATGTTCTCATATAATATTTATTTTCTTTAGTTACGAACAATTATTGTCGTTATCGCAACTTCTGTTAAACTTGGAGTAGGTTAAGAAGGATGACATTATCGTGGACATTTAAGTGAAATAAATAAATGTCAGGTTCTTTTCAAAGATGCGATATTTTGTAATAGGTAGGAAATCGATTTCTGTTATCAAAGTCTAATGTGCGCTTCGTATTCAGATAATCCAGTTATGAATTACTTTCCTTGGATGTTTGACAGCCTCATATAAATATATTTTTCTTTTTTCTTGGTGATAATTGATAATCGTAAATGAAAAATTGATATTTAAGTGAAATATCAGTTGAATATTCTTCTTTTTGTTAAATATGCCATCTGTAAAAGTGTAAAATAACACATTTTATACGATTGTTACGAACTTCAGTAATATCTTATTAGACGAACTCAAATTAGAATGCATCTAGAATGTTATACTGTTTAACATTGAGAAAAAAGCTTGAGGAACTGAAGGTTATCGGGTATATTTTTTCTTTACATTATCCTTTCTCTTAAGCTGTGTTTATAGCTAGCTATACATTGTCTACTCGTATACTGTAAAACCAAAATGGTTGGTAAAAGGTCACATGACGATGTCAAGAATCGTTATCTCCTTGTCATAGAGTGTTAAGGCATTTTTAATAAAATCTGTTCAGTATATGGACAAAATGAAATGTCTTTTTCATCAGCTATTCATTGGTTTACTGTTAATTTAGACGGTAGTTGTACCCTATGGCCGTCGGTCTAAAACACCAACGTCTGTTGTAAAATGTAAAAGAAATATTTTATACCGATGCAAGACCAATAGTCATATAGCTCGATACGTATTGATGTCATCTCATTACGAACAGCTCACCCCATTCTTAAACTGATTTCAAAATGAGAAAGGTTTGTGCTAGATGGATTCCTTATTTGCTGACAAATGAGCAGAAAAAGTCCCGCCTGCAGTGCGCTAAGTTGTTGCTTAAACAATATCCAAATTACAATACACGGTCTTTTGCAAATGTCTGTTGTATGTTTGTACGTCATAACTAGTATAACATTTATAATTTATGCAGATGAAACTAGGATTACAGTTCATGAATGTTCAGTCACAGCCAATTGTTCGACAAAATGTAGGACTTGAACATCCAGGACTCACAAGTGAGTATGTTTCCAAACCTCCTCAGAAACTATAAATTGTAGGATTTTTAAACCTATGTATGTCTCACTTCCTCATTTAATTTAAACAAAATGTTGCACTTGCATACCAATGTTTCAAATGTGAGGTTGTCACCAAGCATCATTAAAAGAAAATACATAAAATTATGTAAATTTATTTGATTTTTCGAATACCACACCAGAAATCGCAACCCGAGCATCGAAGGCACCGATAATGCTGAAAGCGCGTGTTAAGTAGGTTAATTAAGTAGGTATAAATATATGTAATAACAATTTAACCAAAGTTGTTTCAATAAGCGTTTGTTTGAATGTTAAGCATCGTTTGGTGGTAAGATTTTGTGAAAAGTCTGTATTTGGAGTCCGTTTAGCGTTTTTCACCATATGAATTATATATTTTGGGCACCCCAGAACCTATGACGAAAAGAAAATTTCTCGAGGAAGACTGCATAAAAATCCTAACAAAAGTGGGTAAATATAAAGGAAAGTCAGTGGGGTAGAATCACATTTTGATTTTTAAAAGAAAAAAGCGTTGAATTTTATATAAATGTTTAAAACCCTGTGATTGACCTATTTTCTCCTTCACATATCGTGTTAAAGCGCACATCTGGAGCAGCGGAAATTCACATACATTGTATATATTTTACCGATGTTCAATTTTGAGATCCATATGGTCTTCCACACCCATGGCATTACAAATACTCTTGAATTAACATAATATTTGTTGTGAAAGAAAATTAGACACGTTTATTGATACCTCTCCCAGTCCCGCTTCTCTAATTCATATAAATCAGTTAAACACAGCAAATATAATGAAGAATATGGACATATATTTTACAGGTTATATTATACAAATATGGACTTTTAAGCTGTTGAATATGATGTTATATGTACTGAAAAAATAATATTTACCGAGGCAATAGCCGAGATCAATATTAATGTTTCAGTACATATCACATCATATTCAACAGCTAAAAAGTACATATCTGTTTTATTATATAATTTATAAATAGCTTTTATATGGTTGATCAAATCTGCCATTTTTCATCTTGTCTACTTTTTCAATAATTTGGCCTTTTCTTTTTTAAATAAGCGCATTGACACGCTTATTTGTATTTTGTTGGTCACTAAAATCGACTTTTTTGACTCTTATATACGAGTCACTAAATGTTTATTCTGTTATAACAACAAACTTAACATGACGTCACGTCATAGTCTCGCGTCTTTAGTGGGATTTCCAGAAAATCAATTTTTAGAAGAAAAAACCGTGAATTTACTCTGAAAATCTATTTTTAGGAAAAAAACAGTGAATATCCTTTGATATTGACCTGTTATTTTTTACAAAAAGTTGCTTGTTAGCCAATCAGGGAAAGGCATTTCAAAGCAATTTATAGATTATATAATAAACGGAATTATTTTATAGGTTATGACCACAAATATGAGAACATGCCAGGCATGAATTGTATACCAGTTGATTCCAGGTGCCCATCCTCCTGCTGGAACACCAACGTCTTCACCGGATGTATTCACTGCGCATGCGGTAAACATGTAATTTGTATCTTTTTAAAAACATCTTTCAGTTGACTTTCTTGTATGAAACATTTACATATGTTTGTTTCAGTAATTGTCAACAAACTAAACATAGGGAGAGGAATTATATAAGTTTTCTTTTGTTCTAATCCCTTTCAATTTTATGTAACAATCATATAAAATGTAATATATGTAAAATATTGAAATAAATATGTTTAAACTAAAGTAAACATGAAAATTGCATTATGTCTACAATACATTGAAACATTATTCAGGTGATGGCCAACCACAAATCCCAACTATCGAATCAACAAAAAGTTTAGGAATATTCGAAAAACATACCACATCTGTTGTAAAGCAATTCGAAAACCACAGTAGTTATGGCGGTGAATTAGTAACTACAACAGCTTCTCCCCAGGAGCGGATAACAACGACAACAGATAAAGACGAGCATGTAAAAGACACTATATCTACGACACTACCTTACAACTTGCCATACTTTCATCACTTTAAAATTCCTACCAAACCACCGACCCACCGAATTCTTGGAGAAGCTGAGAAAACTTCTACTGAAATTGCAAATAGAGTTTCCGGGGAAGGTGTTACAATGCAGCCCAGTGGTCATCTGATACCCACACTGTTCCCACCGAACAGGTCATCTGTCCCGACACATTCTCCCTTTGATAGAAAATTGATCTTACATGAAACAAAGGCGTCTATGAACGAAAACGAACAATACAATGTGGCCACAGGAATAAGAAGTACATTACCTACTCATGTTGAATACCCTACTCCAGTTCTTATACCGGAAACTAGCCAGTCTGTCCAGCAATATACATGGATACAATTTCCTACAAATAAAATGCTCGATCAACAATTAAAAAACAATTTTCCCGAAGAATTGACAGCTAAATCCATGGCCACTGACCACTTCCGTGATAATACTAGCAATACTACGATAAATATACAGCACCACATTAAACAGCTGGATTCCTCTGGTATATTAGAATCCCTACTAACGCCGTTAGATACGGCGACAGAAAATGAGGACCTTACAGCGGCAAATTCCACTCAACAAATCCTCGTGAATCAATTAATGCCATTTATAGGTCATGATGATAATTTGACTGGTGACACCAGTTCAAAAGGTGTGATTAACCATATAGGGTTTTATGGTCATATTAAAACAGGATGAATGACAATAGCAAAACACGCTAAAAATATGATGTTAAAAAATTCTGAAAAAAAAAATGTACGAGGTGAGGGCGGACAGTTGGTAGGAAATGGTTAATAAATGTAAATTAATCTGCTTTAATAGAATCTCGGTGTATCATAGCTTTGATTCAGATTATATTTAAAGGCGAAAAAGTACTTAAAAAGTAATATTTTCAAAGACACATTGTTTATATGTGGTTTTACCTAAAACATCATCAAGATAACTCATAAACATTGATTTTTTTAAAATTGTAGTTAAACAATGTAGTAGAGTTCATAAAGCTAAAAAAAAAATAACATCATATCCATATGCGAAGTCAGTTTTGCCAAAGCGGCGTTATGCATACGCAGTAATTGAATTAGTCTATGGTTAGTTAGCAATAAATAGCTGTAATATAGTACGTAATGATAAACAACGAAGGGTAGAGTACGAATTAAAATGTGTTTTGGGAGACACCCACAACGTATATGATACTATTTATGAGAGAAAGATAATTGACCACGTCACAATTGACGCTCTTTAGAAATCACTGACCCGAAATAAATAGAGAATATTTGTTAGGTTTATTGTAAGATCAGAATATATTTCACCTAGTGAGCATCAAAAGTTATACAATGTATTTCACGAGTGCCGCAGCCACGTTTTGGTGTTGACGAGGTACCAAATATCACTACCATACACAAGCAGCTGACAATTGTAAATATTAAGTTATGATAATCACTTCAATTTCAAAATTGTTTCTTATTCGGGAATTTTACCCTTGCCAATTCGAACCTAGCCTACTGATATATCCTTTCTGTCAAAAATTGTTCCGAGTAATCATTGATGTCATAAAGTCAGCGTCTTCGTGTCCGAGTCAGTTCTACAAATTTGACGGGACCATTTTAGGGATCAGTCATTAAGCGACAACATCCGGTAACCATAGCCATCAAAACGCTACTTAAGTCACTTATGTTTTGTAAGTCCTGGCAGAAGTAAAAAAATCAATATTTTATCGGATGATAATGGCTGATAAAAACGTTCAGGGTAGATCTACTTAAAGAAATATCTTCTTTTCAATTATCAAGTTTGTATCACCGTATGATTAACAGAAAATGAATGGCCTCCACTATCCGGATTATATCAGAAAATTCCGGAAGACTTTAAATATATATTATTAGTAATAAAGATTATTGATAGGTTATATGGCCCTAAATAAATGGCTGTTTGGAAATATAACCCGAGCCGTAGAATTTCATATAGAATGACATGTTTGCAAATTGTTATCACCACAGTATAAAAGTTTCAATATTCAAATTCAGATACTTGCTATACAGTCCTTTTTTAAATGTAAAATAAACATCTTTTGAGTACAAGCAGATAAGATAATTATGTTACGTCACTTCAGCATTAAAAAACTGGCAGTCTTTTTTAAAAAAAAGTGTCAAGTTAATAATCTTAATTCGGCAATGTTAATTGCGCATCGAAAGTGATTTAGGCCGATTCGCTTCAATACGTATAAAATACGCGTGTCTTCGCATATTTACGTTTGCAATGGTCACATTTGCTGTACGTCGGAATATTTTTAACATGTCAAAAATCACCGACGCATTGGCTTTTGCGTTAGAGTACGTTTCAATACGGTGATCGAGCCGCAAGTCTACGCAAGTTATTCATTTGAATACGCCAGAGAGCGTTTGCATATTCGCTACAAATAACTTACGTACCACATGTAGAGAAGCGCGTTATTTGCGATCAATTGCGTTATGAAACGCACTTTTGTGTACTTCGACTGTTTCAAACGCATCGGGTATGGCGCATAGATGCGGTTGCAAACGTTAAGCCAACGCAGATAAAGGTATGCAATACGAAAATATACGTTTAAAAACGGAGAAGAACTAGTATATACGCATCAAAGCGAAACTGACAAGAGTTCCGAAAAGTATGTTTGTCTCTCTATTAAAATGAGGGCAAGAGTGTTTAAAAAGTCATATATTATTGTGTCGAAATTGAGTATTACACCGTCTTTAATCTTTAAGCGAATAACAGTAATGATACGTTTCACTTCGTAATGCACGCGCATCTAACCGTTTCATATCGTCGACGATCTAAATTTCTTGGGGCAAAAATGGAAAAATTTGTTATAGATGGTAATGCAATTGAAAGACTACATTCTCAAAGAAATGCGTCGACATGAGACGCGGGCTTAACGGTGCAATACCGGTCACAATAGATTAGGCAACCTGTTGCACTTATTTTCATAGCTATAACGTTAATGTTTGTTTGTACCCCTTGATTCGCTGAAAATATCTTAAATAAATCTCTGCAAAATAAATTATTTTACCCAATGTTGAGCAAGCATGCTATATCTTAAAATGTATTTTTGTGTCGCTTTGAAAAAGTCGACGACATATAGGGGTAACTTTTGTCGGCGGTGTCGGCGGCCTCCCCTTAGGCTTGTCCGGAAGTGACTCAGTCGGATTGACTTCAAACTTGGTATGCATGCTTCTTTCAATGACCCGAAGTGCACAAGAAATGTACTCTGCATTTCTTATTTTTTGACTTATTGCTCTTTGTTAATTTTCATACTTTATTTTTGTCCGGGCCACTTCTCATAAACTATAAAGCTATGAATTTGAAACTTCATACGATGTCGGATCTCATTGAGGAAAAGTGCAGTACACAAGAACTATTTCTTTGCACTTGATATTTGAGTTATTGCCCTTCGTTAATTTTATACTTGATACGTTTATCCAAAGCATAACTTGGTCACTATAAGTTTGATTGACTCCAGATTTGGTATGCAAGTTTTTTCATTGACCTGAAGTGCATTGCTCAAGAATGTCAGTGTAAAACTTTTCCATGTTATTTTTTTTTTTATAATATAACAGTTTTATTAATCCTTACCAGGGTTCTATTTGAAAGACCCCGTACTGACGTAACATTGTTACAATTTGTAGTGTATACATATAGTTGTGACATTGCTATGTACAATACATTAATTTGCATTCATTAATCGACTTCTGAATTTACTCGCAGTAGTTGCTAACGTAGTATTGGTATCAACTTGAACGTCTTTAATCAAATATAGATTTGCATTTGCAATTATTTTTCTAAGCATTCAAACTTTCAATATTTTGAAAGACTTTTTTTAAAAAAAAAGAATTGATAAATATATTCAATATGACGAAAACATTTTGAGCTTTAGTAACAGACGTTGATTTATATACGAAACTTTAACTGTTATTACCGCATGGTTTGGAACTTTTCCTTTGTTCTAACAAACCCATTATACTCAGTACACTTCAACGAGCATTTCGAAACTGTATTGATATATAACAGTACAGTTTTTTCATTGATTCATATAGGAAAAAAACTCGACTGTTATATATCGGTCGAGTGTTTTTTTCGCACCTGTTATATATCAATGCAGTTATTTTTCATAGGGGCTCTAATGGGGCAGTGTTAACGACCATTCCCAGGAGCAAAAAAAAGGGAATCAATAAAATAAAATAAAATAAATAAATAAATACAATGAGAAATATAAACAAAGATAATTAATGAAATGAAATTTACTCTCATTTAATCCACTGAATGTATTATTTCCACTGAAAAAAGCCCTTTAATTAATCTTGAATCAATATTGGTAAAAGTTTACAATTCGCCTCTAACATTGGATGTCGCTTGTATATCTTTTTTTTGCGGCAGCGAAAACAACTTAAAAAACTGCCTTATCATGAATAACTGTAATGTAGCTAACGATTTATTCATTTATTTATTTATTTATTTATTTATATTACAAAAGAAAAGAAAACATTATGCCATTGCGATAAAACAGTTATAGTATATGAAACTCGTTAGTTACGGGGGTATAACACTGGTTGGGGCGACATCTCAGGATGTTTCTGCAAAAAAAAATTGTCTCGCCATTTTTTAGCAGAAACACCCCTTGATGTCGCCCCAGCTAGTGTTATATCCTCGTAACTAACTCGTTTCATGTACTATAACTATTACTTATTGCTCTTTATATCTAAGTGATGAAGGAGTTATTACATCTTCGTACACCATAATTATGTTGATTTAAGTAATGGAATTTGTTTTATTGTCCGTAAAGGCCCTGTCACACTAGACTGCGCTTTTACTGCGTTTGTACGACGTTGTTAAATTTAACAAAGCGCCGCGAGATCGCAATAAAAAATGTAATATTTTTGATGACATGAAGACTTCACGGAGTCCCCACGGCGATCATGGCAATGGTAAGGAGCTTCCACGGCGTTATAGTTGGCAAATGTCTACGTTCGGACTGCGCTTCTACGACGTTCTTTGCGCTTTCACTGTGCATTTACGGCGCTCATACGGCGCTCTCGCGGCGCTCACACTGCGCTGAAATCGTAAAGCTCCGTCAAAGCGCCGTGCACACGCTGTATAAGCGCGGTAGAGACGCTGCACAACCTCCGTACAAGCGCCGTGGATAAACACGGCGTTCATTCGGCGTTCCTTTTGCGCTTTCCCGGCGCTTCTGTTGCGTTGTAGGAGATGCTACTGAGTTGTTACGGCGCACTTACTGCGATCCCACTGCGCTCATTTTAGAACGCCGAGTGACGGCGTTTGTTTTGAGCATGTTCAAAATGCGCGCCGTCGGTCGGCGTTCTATGCGACGCCACTACGATGCTGTGGCGATGCTGCGGCGATGTTTGCGATCTTACTGCGCTCACCTCGGCGTTCTGAATTTTCTTTGGACGCCGTGAGAACGCCGTCCTAGTGTGACAGGGGTTTAAGGTAGGCTAATATGTTACGATGATAGCTTGATATATTTTTTTTACATTTATATGTACAACCCATGAAAAGACCCACCCAAAACGAGTCTACGGCTTCCATCAATAGATTCATTGTAGATGCTACAGAGACTTCCATCCATAGATTTATTGTAGATGCTACAGAGGCTTCCATCCATCCATAGATTTATTGTGGATGCTACAGAAGTTCTATCCATAGATTTGATGTAGATGCTACAGAAGCTTCCATCTATAGATTTGTTGTAAATGTTACAGAAGCTTCTATCCATAGATTTGTTGCACAAAGATGTTACAGAGGCTTCCATCCATAGATTGATTTGTCGTACATAGATGTTACAGAGGCTTCCATCCATAGATTTGTTGTAGATGCTACAGAATATCCTCGTGATTATGCAACCTGTTCTTTACACTGTGGATTTTGTCATTTTTCTTTCTATGGAATAAAGCAGACGACAAAACGAGATTGCCATTTTTAAATCTGTTACATGTTGTATTTATAAATATTGCTGTGATGCTAGATATAATTACCAAATTGTCTATTTAACTGTCTGAATTGATGATAGAATAGATCAAATTCGTAGACAGAGTTGATAAAAAGGCCGACTTTCGCTTATTGCTTTGTCTTAATTGCTCACAAGGGATATCTCCTTACAAGAATTCACACTGATTCTCACATATTTTTGTAGCGTAATAATAAAATTTAAGGATAATAATGTAGTGATTGTCATTCCATAATGTTGTAAAATTTCCAACTTGGAAGTATATGTTTTCAAGATTGGAGGAGAGAATCTTTACACAATGTCTTATTGTCGTCTTATTGTTGGCATGCAATGAATGAAGTTCAACATTCTAAACAGACTACTTCTAGCCCTTAGAGAAATTTTCTTCCAAATTTGATGTTTGATAGGAAGTGATTAAGTAATCGATATATTTTGACTGTTGGAATGCGATAATTCGCCGTCTTGCATCGTCGTTTCCTATTTCATATGCCCAAGAATAATACGTTCGATGCCATTTGTTTAAATCAGAACAAAAACAATTTTAAAAATGTGCAAAGTAGTCAGAAATATTTTTTTAGGATTCATATAAATACTTAATACATCTATTGTGCACTTTTCATTAGAAATTACTGCTATAAAAGTTAAATTTGCTAAGAATTAGCACACATTATTAAATAAAGTATTATTGTACAATAAGTACCAATTTATTAATCAAATCAACAAATTAAAGAACAGAGTTTTGAATATCTAACTTTTCTTTGAAAACTTGAGGTGATGTTGTTCTCTCCTTTTACTTTAATTGTTAGTACATGCAAATGTTTATGATCATTTTACAAATTATTACACAAATTTATATATCTGCATTTCTATATAAAAGGACCATAAAAGGTGGTTTTGAGTGGTTGCAATATTGCTATCCCATTTTGTGTCTGTAATTCCAAACCTTTATATCCATTATCCAATAATCTCCGCATCCCTGAAATACAAAATTGTCGGCATAAACTCCAAAAGAATCAGACATGCATGTTAAGATAATACTTATCCCTGTTTAATAAAAACTCACTCGAAAAAGCAGTTTGTCTCAATAACATGTACAACTAAATTACACATTTCAAATTTCATGTTTTGCTTCGTATGTTTTATTTTTTTCTGTTTCGACAAAGATAAGCAAGCAAACAAACAAGACCCTTACCCATCTTTCTTTTCACATATGTAGTGAAAAAAATTATGGCAAGCCACATCTAGCCATTGTCCACTATTTTTGTCAATAACAACACAGTTTTCATCATTTCCCACACTGTTTGGTTCATTAGGTCGCCAATTTAGATAACTAGCAGAGGAAGAACTTTCAACCCAGACCCAAACTCCTTCCTCCTGTATGTCATTCAATCCAATATAGTAATAGCCTTAAATAAATAAATGCACCAATCAATTTTTATCAATCAATCAATCATAGACAGAGCTATCAAGTGTAAATAAATGCAAGATAAAAATATTTAAACATTAACAGTTGGTACATGTACTTAAAATTAACTTATGAAAAAGATATTTCGATAGAACCTAGCTAGTAATTGTATGTTTTCAATTCTTTCTATACATTACATTTCAACGAAAAATCATTTAAAAATAAAAAATAAAACAACAAAAATCAACAACGTACTGTATTTATCTTTAATGTATCCTGCTATATAAGCATTTTCAGCAGCTGTTTCTATCTCTAATAAGGCACCACCGAGCACTTGACATGATAGCTATGAAATATGTAAACAAATCAATAAAGTTAACAACACCATTATTATTGTACGATGATATGAACTGTGCAATCCTTGGTCAGTAAAAATTAATTTATCTCATTTTTTGTTTGTTTAAAACAAATTAATTTAGAATATAAAAAAGTGGCCAGTCCTCAATATGTCACATTCACCTGTCCAAACTTTACAAAAAGCAATAACAAGAAAGAACACCCCCCCCAAAGAAAAAAAAACAACAACAGCAACATCAAAAACACACACACACACACACAAAATATACAACAAAAACAAATTACACCCCACCCCCGAAAAAGAATAACAACAACAAGAACTGAGCACTCGCATTGTTTCCATATAGATGTACAATGCAGATCTTTTTTTGACTTAACAATCCAAGACTTGCCTTATTTATCTAAATTTTATAAAAAAAAACAAAGTTTCAATATTTTGAATTCTAGTGAATATTCTAAATGATGTAAAAATGCATGAAATGGGATTTGAGCACATTTTTTTTTATCATAGCCATTGTTTCAAAATCTACAACTGAATCTGGATTTACCTTTGCAACAAGCATTGCCTCAGTATCATGGCTAAAATGATAACAAGTGGAGTCATGTCTCATCCAGCCATCTGGACAACTGCCAACTGTAATTAAATCATAAAGAATTGTATGAGGAATGACATACTTACAAACAATATGTAAAATATTTTTAATTGATGTAAATATAGAGTTTATTTTTAAGTTACTGAGATGTAAGGGGTTAAGTACATGAATTACTAAATAACATAATAATTTTTAAGAAATAACAAGCTCCATATTTTCAATATTTTTGGTTGGACTTTCAATGGTTTCTTAGCATATCTTCAGCTTCATACCTAAAATATTTAAAATATGGAGTTTGTTATTTCTTAAATATTATTATTTTTTGTTATTTCATTACTGCACAATGATAATTTATCACGATTTAACATTAATTACTATATATGTGAAGTTATTCAGAATTTAATCCGTATAAGACATTTGTTCATGTAATAAAACAAAATTGATTGATCAATATCATATTTCACTGACAAGATTCAGTTATTCAATAGTCGTTAAATTACTATTTAGTGATAATTATCATTTTCTAAAAAGTGGAAAAAGTATTCTAAAAATTATTTAAAAAAAAAATTCATTGTTCTAAGACAATATAAAAATACTGTCAAAATTCATCTTTTCAGTACACAAATATGTTACCCTTTATAAGCTTTAAAACTTTCGGTCCCTTTCCTTTTACATTAATATATCTACATGTATTTATAAAATATATATTAACAACATATTATCATCATTAAATAAATTAAATATTACGGCAATTACCATTTATAACAACAAAGAAATATAAATAAAATGTACCGATATTAGTTTTCGGAAATGGAGAAGAGTATGAAAAAAAGCTTTGTTTTTAGATACAAAGCAATACAGGCTCCAAAACGGGTTAGAAGTGTATCATTTTTATGGATCATATAACATTGAGACTTTTTACTTATACCAGTATTCGGCACACCCTCTATGGTTTCAGTAACAAACCAATAATTAAAATATTTCATCGACCACCTTCGATCACGTCTATTGATTGAGATAATTTAGGTGGGTTAAAGTTTTAGTAAGTTTAAACACTAATCAAGAGTATCATATTTGTAAAAAATATTATTGTTACGAAATGATATACGTGATTGTGCACTGTTAAGTTGTGCCATTGCTTTAATAAGTTTAATATTGACATCTGCAGTATAATTGACAAGGTGAAGATCCAGAACATTTTTTGTCATACGAAAGTTTATTCAAACGCGAGTGTAGTAATATAAAGGTAACTATCTTTATAGTTCTAATTTTTGTACACTATTGTTAATAACGACAGAAGTTGATTGTCTATGTGGGACACTGTTTCAGTCAGATACCGACTATACAAAAATATGTTACAACGTTACTGTTCTTAACTAATGACAAGAAAACAACATAAGCTAGTTTGTGGGTGATATGGATATAAATATAACTTATTTCAACAGATTTGAAAAAGCTAATCAAAATTGTATACTCACATGACAACTGCATCAGTAGCAGCAGGATATATATAAACAATCCAAACATACGTGTCTTCATTTTATGAATTCCTTAATTTTAGTACAAGGTTTGAAATAGTTTTATTTATCTATTTCGAATGACCTTTTAAGTACAACTCTCTAAATTTGCATGAGTTTATCAGTTTTAGTATATTCCTCTAAATATAGGTTTGCAAATCAATTCAAAGCTGCAATGAAATCTCCCATTGTAACTGATAAGATAGATTACTTTTGAATCTTTATACTTCACAACAGCAGGTGTCAAGTGCTGTGTGGCAGCTGTAAAAAGTTTCTCAATACTTCATTTAAGTGTTGTTGTATTTTTCTGTGATTCCATCACTTTATTTTGTGTCGCTCTTGAGTACCGCTTAAGCCGGTGCTAGGGGGCTTGAGGGATATTGCACTTTTATTATCCCTCATGTACAGACTTAATCAAACCGAGTCTGCAATTTTGTTGAGACTAATGCTTCTGGGGGATCACAATTTATCCAGATTTTTTTTAATTCAAGGAATTGAAACATCCTTAAGGTTGAGAGACTTACATGCAAAGTTGAATTTTGTTAGACGCAAAATGTTATGTTTTTACATTTACAATATTTGGTTTTCATGGAGGTTTATCTGCCTATAGTAAGTGACGCGCAGTTTTCTTCATTAATTATCTTCTTTAAAATAAATCATAATGATATCATCAGCAGCCTAGAAGACCGAGACTCCAAATTGTTCAGCAAACAGACTTTATTTGGATTGTGAGACGTAAAGTTGGAATAACTTCAACGCTTAATCGTAAAGATGTTAGGATCTGTATGTAAATATTGAATCACCGCTCCTTCGATCAATTATCACGACTAAAGACACTTGCTCTGACTACTCTACCGTTTTAGAATACTATACTCAACATCACTAATTCCGCGTCATCACTTATTTCACGGTAATGGTATATTTTTATGTGACCAGTGCTAAAATTGGTCAGAATTGACATATACAACAAAGTTTTTTGTGCAAAATATTTTAAATCTCTAGATTTTTACGTAAAACAGAACAACATTTTACAAATTTCTGCAAAAAGCAACAACAGTCCATTTAATTTGTGTATACGTCTGAAACAATCATTATTTTCTAAATGTTCTTGTTTGTTGAAAAACGAAATTTTGAGTTACAAGGTAAGATAGTTTTAATATTTAAAATTAAGCAAAATGGCATGTAGAAATTTTAAGTGAAACATGAAAAAGCTTAAGTTTAACACTATGTACCGCGATTTAAATGATGACATATAGTTTTCAAAATGGCCGACATATGGTCTACGTCTGGTCCAGTAAAACTAATTTTGACTGAATATACTGTTGTTTCCCTTTGTCATACAGCAGAAAATACCTATTTGTTACAGCTTATGAAAATTTTTGTACCATAAGTTTCATTTGTTGTTCTCTTTCTGGTTTCCAAGCGTTAAGTACCGTGAACTAAGGAGCTCAGTATAGTATGTATTTGCCTGTGTGATATAGTCAGATTATGTCATGTATTATACATCACATAAACTGACAAAGTGCAAAACCTTAAACAGGCCAAGAAAAATAAGATTTAGAACAGGCAACTCGGGTCAAATCTTATCCCAATACTTCACTAACTTTTAGCTCATTTCATTGAACAAGCATCGGCAAACAGTACAGTATGATAAAAATCTTTTGAATTTTCAAATCTCGTTAATTAAATTATGGAAATAATATATACTACATATGGATTTAGTTTTATGTTTCTTACGCATAATACATAAATTATATCTAAATGTCATATTATTCAGGAACATTGACTGATTTTGTTTTGATAAAATGTATATTCTTCAGAGCATAATGTTTAAGCCCATTCTCTTCTTTGTATTAATAATAAAAAAACTGGAGCTTCTCAATAACTACGTTATAAACTGAAAATGACATATTTAGAAAGGAAGAAATATAAATTATTCTATCTTTTAAAAAATGTGTAAACTAGATGTTGATAAACTCTTTTCTTTACATAACTGACATGTTTTGCATACAATGTAAAACAAATGATAAAATGATCCAACTTTTATTAAAGTTATTTCAATTTCATTGTAACATTTAATAACTGTAACATCATCTTTGATTGATTATTTCCCTACAATCTCTGAATCCCTGAAAATATAAAACTAAATTGCCAGCACAACTTACAAGGATTGTACTTTATTATCAATTTAAATAGTTTACTTTTTTAAATATATAACTAAAGTTTTTAACATAAACTTTTCTTATCCTTCAAAAATAAATAAGTAAATAAAGCTTACGTTCCAAAAATTTATAAACATTTTCAAGATTTGATTGTAGAATTGACATAAGATTGAACGAGTATACATACACACTATCCTTTTCACATATGTAGTTGAAAGCCAGGTGACAGGGCGTATCGTTCCATTGCCCAACGGTACCGTCAATTACTACACAGTTTTCATCAACACCATTGTTTGGTTCTGTAGGTCGCCAATTGATATAACTGGCTTGTGTTTTACTCCCAATCCAAACCCAATTGCCTTCTTCTTGAATATCATTTAAGCCAATAAGGTAGTACGCTTTAGAAAAGAGACACAAAAACAAACAAACATGGAGTACTCCAGAACAATATATTTATTATACGAGATCATTTGGATCGTTATGATAATTTTAAGGCAGCACTGTCATTTCGGCCTTCTGTTAATTTTTTCTGGTTAATAACTTCGTAATTTATGATTTGGTATTGAAATAATATCGTAAAGACTGTAGTTCATTTCCACAATGTGTCAGGCGAATATCACGGTCGGTCTGTAGCATAAATGTCATACTGACTTCGAAGGAACTGTCTCATAGTGATTCAAACAGTTTTTCTATAAAACTGTAACATATATTGATTCAAACAGATTTGGTACCAAATGAAAGTCTATTCAATCAATGTTTCGAAGAAAACAATCGAGTTTGTCAAGTTCATTTTCTTTTCTTCGATTACTATATGAATAAAGGACATACTTTGTTTATCTCTTATGTACGCTGCTAAATAATCATTTTCAGTTGCTGTCTCAATCTCCACTAGTGCACCACCTAGCTCTTGGCATGATAACTGTAAAATAAATTTGCAAGTTCATTTTACCATTTTACGATGAAACCATTATGATCATTATTAATATGTTTTACATTTTGATACTTTTTGAAACATAGAATAGAATCGAATAAAAGTATTTTTTTCCTATCATCAGTCTATTTAGGGACTTATAATCAAATAATAATACTAGTGCTCAATATGTACATGACTAAAACTAAATAATAATATGTACATGACTAAAAACTAAATAAAAGCCTGATTATAGTTAGCATACACAATTAACAAAAGACTTTTTAACAATACGAAACGGAATCATATTAAATGACAACAATGAATAAGGATATGAAGTAAAACAAATGTGTGAATGTAATAAAAAAAAGCAACATGAACCTAAACTAACACAATAATGTTTCTTGCTAACCCAATAAAATGTTCTATGTAACATGTTGTATACAAAAAAGTAAAGTAATAAACATCTTAAATGTGTTCTCATTAGTACTTAGCAACTATTTCTACAAAACACTCATGGATAAAGTTCGTCGTAGCAGTATTAGTTTCATTCGGCTACTTCTAATATGATTTTGAATAAGACACATGATTTACTGCGGAATGACGCGATTTATTTTGCGAGTCGTCATTTAAAACACAAGTACATAAAACATTCACATACATCAGCTTTACACTTCATGACCAATTTTAAATTTTCTAGCTTTCTTGCAAAACATTTTTATTTACATTTTCTTCAAATGGAAAGACAATGTTTTCTTAATCTCCGTATACAAATAATGAACTATGCAACTGTCTGTAGTTTACCGAAATAACCAGGCTAAAATTAAATCATGAGCAAACAAGTTGTAAATGTTTCGCATTTGGACAAAACGCATTGATGTAAGAGCTGTTGTATTGCATTGTCTTAAAACATCTGTATTCTTTTCAATATATCCATTTGTTGACTTTTAGAAACAAGGAAACAATTTCGTTTTGAAGAAATTTATCTTTTAAAAAATTGTACTTTTCTTTTGATGATTTGGATAGTGTTGTGCGGACATATTATTGGTTTCAAAAACTTAAATAGCCGCATTTGATAAAGTAAAGCGAAGTTACACGGGTGATGTTTATTTTGGTTAGATTTAATGTTGTCTTTAATGTTTTATAGTCTAAGTTTATGCTCAAATTTGATATTTTATCGTGTCACAGTGTCACACGAATACTACTGGTACGGACGTAATAGTATTTTCGTGTTGTAACGCTTCCATCTAAACATACATTCGTCTAGTTTACAAAGATAGCATTTTGTTTAGCTCTTTTAAAGGTATGCAGTACACAGCGGACCATTCCTTCGCAGCCATGTTACACGTTATCAACTGCTCAGGCTAATTTAATCTTTTAAGTTTTTTTAACATTTTCAGAAATACTAGAAATTAGCAACGTTCTTTCAGAATCATTATAAGGTCACCTCAACACAGTTTCAATTTATTGTGAAGAATAACATTTGAAAATTCGATCACCCACAGATAAATTTCGATATCCGCTTTATTTTTAATTTATGAGCACTAATTCTAAATTTAGTTAGAGACGATAAAACAATCTGACATTTAATTACATCCAAATAAATGTCATACATATCTTTTATTTTGACTAAGTTCTTATAGTTTTCCACTCTGGTTTTTGTCGTTCTGTTTATTTGATTTTTAAACTGACTTACGGCACAGTTTTTAACACTTTCCGATAAACTCTTTCCGTGATACATGCTTCTTGACTTTTAATTTGAAAACGACACCAAATTTGTTACCTTTTTTAATTTTTCAGTGTTAAAACAATACATCTTTTGTACAATGACTCTTATTTGATCCAGCAGCACGGCAAAAGAAACACACTTTTTTTTTAGATTTCACACTATTAAATAAGAACACGCCATTCGAGCAGACGTATACCAAACAAAGTGAATATCTTCAGACAATAAATGAAAGATAATTAGATTAAATATGTGCCAAATTTAAAGCCAAACGCTCACTTACCTTTGCTAGCAGCATAGGTTCCGTATCGTGGCTAAAATGATAACATTTGGAGTCATGCGTGATCCACCCATTTGGGCAACTGCCATCTGGAACACAAATGGTTTCCCTTAACTTGCTGATTTTGTGAAACAGTTTTGTTCCTTGTATATGGAACAGTTTATTAGAAGAATACAATTTATATTTAATTTTACGTCGCACAATCACAGCGGAGGTCATATGGCGGCTTTTCAGCTTTAAATGTTGAGGAAAACCTCGTGTGTGGCCCTTCTTAATTATTTCAGGCATGGACAGGTACCTTAGAAAAAAACCCCGAAAGTCCCTTGTCCGTGGGGAGATTCGAACCTCCAGCGGCAAGGGCAAGTGGTTTAAAGTCAACGACCTTAGCCTCTCGGCCACAGGCGCCCCTATCATAATACACAGCACATGTACATACACAGGTACATATATAAACACATACACACAGGCACATACGCACAAAATAGTTGCACGTGTAAGCGTACCAGCCTCTGTACTGCTGGCGAAGGCGAATCACCCTCTGTTTTAGCCGCAGATTAATAATAAGGAATAGCTTACTAATATTTGTTCGTTTTCTGAAAATATGTACATAGTCCTTAAGGTATCTGCCTCTGAACTCTGGGATCAGATAATGGGTTCGAGCCACACCAAGGCTCCAATTGCTGGTTATTTCCAGGAAACGGAATAAAAAGAAATCAATCAAAGGACACGTTTCACAATCGAACAAACTAAATATCGGGTATCCTTTATTTAAATGTGGTATTATTTTATTCATTTTCACGGTAAATAGCGCAAGTGAAATTGAACACCATTCTCTACCAAAGATGCGCAACTGCGCAATATTTTCTTATGTGGTTGAGAAATTGCAGATCATACGGGGTCTTTACGAGAGTGTGAAACATGAAATATTCTTTCATCAGAAATTTAGTCTTATCCATGATGCATCTATGAATTCATAAGAAACTTGAATGTAGCCTATTATTATGTGAAAATATCTTAATAACTTGATAAATATGCGTTCGTACAAACATACTTACAAGTACATTTTGCCACATATAAAAATATATATACAAAAGATCCAAGCAAACCAGTCGTCCTCATTCTTATGTTTAGGTGAAAACAGTGTATTGTTTACCTTTTCCAAACGGCAGTGTTTGACTAAAATGCCCCTTTCAATAAGATAGCATAAGATTACGAGGGCTCTTCAAAATGTTTTAAGGCATCGGGAATTTTAAACTAAAGCTGATTTCAAAATTGCTGTTATTGTAAAATTGTTTCAAAATATAGGTTTGTAATATATCAACCCAAAACAAGTAACAATGAGTCGGTATCTGACCATGCCACTAAAATATTTACACTGCTAAGTGTGACAGAAGACATAGATTTAGTAAGTAATGTGAATGACTTCCAATATAAAACATTTTCCGACGCCTGCTTGAGGAGTTGTCACAATGATAAGATGTCTCATTTATTATAATGTTTTTAGACTGTATGTCTATTGTTGGTTGTTTAACAATCACCCGAACGAAGTACAAATGTTAAGATATTTACTGAAGTATCGCATAGCATTTACAATTAATGTCCCTGAGCTTGAAAAATTCTTGATTGGAGTAAAACATATTCAATCTGAGATCTTTAAGAGGCGTCCGTTTACAAAACGGCAAGATCAATATATCACCTGATCAACAGTTCCATTAGAATAAAATAAAATGTTGTTAGATCTATCTGTCTAAATCATTTTCTCAGATTTAAATGATGCTTTGGAATAGTTTGTACATTAATCGTACAATTCACATTACCTTCACATCTGACATATAGTCGGACACTCTGAGTTGTTCTTTTGCAATCAAAACAAAAAGGAATAATTTACTTTGTAAATGAGGTTATATGCCTACAAATATGGGCATATGTAGATTTATAAGTTTTCATCTTTAAAAGATTATTATATCTGGATACAAACTTACGTAAGTGCATACGTTTATCAGGTAGTGAACATATCAGGTAGTTAACACAATGCTTCACAAGAACACTGTGGCGTTATATAAAGTTCGGAACTTTAAACTTATTTATTTATAACAGAGAGACATGCCATGAAGTGTATTTTGGTCGGGATATATTTCAATATTAAAATATAACAAGTAATGTGCACGGTATGTTCATGTTCTTAAAAGATTGATTTCTTATTCATTTAAAGGCGGTGCTTTTTGCAAAACCCATGTAATTTTCCTTTCATTAGATTTAACATTTGATTCAAAATCGTTATCACAACTGATAAGATGTACGTAAAATAATGTTAACATTAGGTTCACATGCGTGTGTTCAGTGAGGATGTTTGTCGATTTATTGAAATACATATATAATAATAATAACATAAGGTAAAGAATTGTCTCAATATGAGACGTATAACGGAATTTTGAGTCCTGTACGAGTTACGACTCTGTTTCCTCAAATGTCACCAGTTCATTCCCAGGCAGTAGACTAATAATAGTGTTTGAAAGAGCTTTGGAATCCAACAATCATATGTTTGTAATGTTACGTGTAAAATCATTTGTTACTTTACTCAAAGAAATTAACTTTATTAGCATATTCTTTATCAATACATTTCTTCAAAGTATTGAGTATTTATCTTTAAATTTGCACCGAAAATATAAAGATGCTTGTAATCAACTGTAATTGTTTCAATTTGCGATGTCTACTCTGATTTACTCATGTCATGACAAACATGAAAAGCAACTCAAAAGAACTGCCATTTGTGGACACAGTAATATAAGGTATTTACGTTTATTAAGTTGCTAGGTAACTGGTAGCTTTGTAGAATAATTTCCTTAAGCATCTCTGACAGACACATTCCAAATGATATTGGAAAGGGGCATATAATGTTACAACTCTCCGTCCTTCTGTGTTTCTTTCCTTTGCATGTATCTCACACATTTGAACTTTCACATAAAAATACCGTTCAGTGTTTCGGACGTCTTCAATTTATAAGATTTGTTAATGTGATTGAAAAATGTAACTGTTGACTTAGTTTTAAAACCACTTTATTCATGACAAATTTGTATCAATGTATTGTTTTAGCAAATAAATATAAATGCAATACGAACGGCCGAGTGCTTATACATACGTGATTGCGATATTATAATGGTCGAGAGTCAATGTTATAGCAAAACTAACAGTCATGTGTCAGTATGTAAATGCTATACCCAGGTAATAACTTGTTTTTTTGTGTGATAGGAACACCTATTGGTTTAGGCGATTTACAAACACAATGGTCAAAATGGAGACTTTAAAGATTTACTAATACATGAAACATAAAAACGACCTGGATTTATTTAACTTTTGAATACGAACACAGGTTGGATGACCGTTTTCGGCCGCTTTAAAAAAATTGTATTGACATTTCAAGGCATATTACGAAGACAATCAATTAGTTAGCATTTGCATTTATTAATGTCGTACACAGAAAGTAACCATCATAACAGAATGTTTCAATGTTAGCCAATAATTTCTGTTTCTCTGAAAAGCAAAGTGCACCTTCATTAATTACAAATGTAATGGATTTAAAGTGATAATGTTAACAAACCAAAACGATATATTAAGTTGAAATTGATTTCCAAAAGCTTCTTGTTTAACTTGCACTATTTGCAACTTGCATAAAAGAGAACGATGCGAAAATTTAATACATGATTTTAAAGAGATATGTTTAAGTCTTACGTAGCATTCGTTTCACATATATAAGGTAAAACATTGTGGCATGGCCCATCGACCCATTGTTCTTTTCCTTTGTCCATAACAACACAGTTTTCATTGTTTCCTACATTGTTTGGCTCTCCAGCTCGCCAGTTAAAGTAACTTGCCGGAGATTTACTTCCCATCCAGACCCAAACACCTTCTTCCTTCAAATCGTTCAAACCAATCCACCAAGAATTTCCTGAAAGTCACAACTTTATATTCAAAGTAACCAACTTTCTTACCTTATTACCTTACAGTATGGTAGGGTATCAATCCACCAATAAGTTTCTTAAATTCACAAGGATTTATTCGTATTTTTGTCATTCAAGGTAACAAACAACTATTCACTCGTCATTCAAAATAATAAACTTTCTTGCCTTACTGTAGGGTAAGGTAACTATCCACCAATTAGTTTCTGAAAGTCACAACTACATATAAAAAATTCATTCGTATTTCAATCATTCAAAATAACCAACTTTCTCATCTTACAATAGGATAGGGTAACAATCCGCCATTTTTGTTTTGAAATGACATAAAATTTTCTTCGTTTAAACAAAGTGCATTAGAAGAAAATTATTTCCCCTGGTTTTGTTCCCGTCGGATCACATGAGGGCGCTATTCGCGCCAAAATCAGCACGTGATTTTCGGAATAGCGTTGCAAATTCATTCAGCGCTTGGTTAATCGACTGTCAACATGTCCGAAGAAGAAAATTCAATTCCTTTTCAACCTACCGATAACGGTTCAACTCTACAGGCTCAATTAGCTGAGCTATCAAGGCAGCTTTCTTTACAAAGGCAAGACGTAACAGAATTGAGAGAAGAGGTACGTGGCAAGAATATTTCCGTCGGCAAAGAGGTGAAGAAAATCAAATCGGACATTGATATTACCTGGAAACGACAAGGTAACAAAGTTCAGTATACCTTTAACAGTGATATTATCGACTTACTGAATCAAGCCATTTGGGCAATTGACAATAACAAATACGCTTACTGCCGATATATCATTTCCGAGACTTTGGACAAAGAGAAGCATCGTCAAAAGCTTATACGTATTGCAGATACGTCCGAAGCAGGCTGGGAAACGGTTAATTGCTATACCGCTAATCCACTGGCAAGCGATTCCGAGGATGAAACTAAACTCCGCAAAGCTGAGAATCAGGCTCTAAAGAAACGCAAATTAAAAAACATCTAAACGTCTCCAGTCTTCAGCTATAACCAAGTCGCTTGCAACACATTAAACGTTATTTCATAACTAAATTGTTCTGTTGTTCATTCTATATATTTTGTAAATATAATGGTTGTGATCATATTGTATCCGTCGGGGACGATTTGAGGGGAAACTATTATTTAATAGTATTCTAGTCATTCAAAATGACCAGCAACTATTTACTAGTATCATAGTCATTAAAATAACCAACTTTCTTTTCTTACAATACGGAAGGGAAGTGTAGGATAGGCAGGTAGGTAAAGACTGACAGGAATTTTTATCATTGCATGTCAGAGAGGTATTCTGTGAGCCTATATAAAGTCAATAATTTAATCTGGAAAAAAAACTGGTGTTAAAATCAACAAATCTCTGCTTAATAGAAAAAATATCTTACCCTGTTTGTTTTTAATAGATCCAGCAATGAATGTATTCTCACTGACAGATCCTATCTCAACTAAAGTACCCCCTAACTGTTGACAAGCCAACTGTAAATTAAAACACAACTGAAAAATTAGTTCATGTTATAGACATGTTGTGTTTGTTTGTTCACAAAGATATATTGACTTTAATCTAATATAAGTATCTTTTAGAAAGCATGTATTTTATCATTTGACATATGTGACAGAATTGCACGTTATATTTCAAACTTACATTTGCAACTATAGCCGACTCCGTGTCATGACTGAAGTGATAACAGCTAGACTCGTGTCGTGTCCATCTGCTTGGGCAACTTCCATCTGTTGTTTGATAAAATTTCTCTTTATAAATTAAAAAGACATAATTATGCCAGAAAATTCATGTGTTTACCTAATCATATATTTAACTGATTCATCAAATACTGTTATGTGGTCACGTTAGTTTAAGAACAGTTTGTGATAAATAAAAGACAACAATGCATTATGCTTTTACAACATTATTTTTGTTAAAACACTCACATGCTAATTGAAGCGTTATTGATGAAAGAGCAAACAGCAGCAAGAACAAGTTACACAAATCCATAATATTTTGTTAAATTGAAAAAAAGTATTTCACGTATCTATATGTTCTATCTTTATCTTTTAAAATTAGACTATATATATTATCTCTTTCTTATCTATGACCTTAAGGTATTAGCACCCTAATGCATTACCTCCGCTTTGAAGAGTATTCAAATAGGCTAGAATTACTGTTAACTACATTGAAAATGAGGGCGATGGGTTCAATCCCCAGAAGAGTCAACTTTTTTTTTCTTTTAACATTATTTATGTATCTCTCATGTCCCATATGGAAGGAAAAAAGTGTTTAATTTTGAATTTTTAATTTATATAGGTATTTATTGGCTAAATTATGCTAAATCTAGTAATAAATATGGTACCTGATATTTTCAAAGTGTAATATAATCAAAACTAGACGGTAAAAGTATTTCATATTTTACAAGATCAACCAATATACGTTTATAAAAATTTAGGGAAACTTTGAAAACAGGCACTCATTAGTGTAAATTTTAAGAATTTTTTTAATTAGGCTCCCTAAGTAGAAAAATGGTCAGACATGATGTAAAAATGGGTGGGGTAGGGTAACATTTTTATACAGATTTCATGAATTTTAAGAAGAAACCATATTTTTTCTTATGTGGAATGTTAGCTGAATGGTACTATTTGTTTCTTACCAAAAATTCATGGGAAAACATTTTTCATTAGAATGTTATTGCAGATTATTTAAAGGTTCCTCATTTCGAAAAAAGGGCCCTCATAACATCCTAGCTTGAGTTCAGAAAAGTGGCCATAACTTGATTTCCGTACGGTAAACTTTGTTTAAATTTTGCATACAGGTGTACTTTAAGGTATACATCTGACCTATGATGTCAATTCTTTAGTTCCTGATAGTGCCCATTAGGGTCCTAATACCTTAAAAGTATTGCCCATTTAATACACAATTGTTACAACATGGCAGGATTGTCTTGACCACATACGAGGGAAGTTGATGGCTTCATTTATTTGGGGATAGTAGAGGGGAAAATCATGATTGACTATCTTGAGCAAGGTCATACTATAAACGATACGTACTATGCAGACGGATTGAGACGTCAAGAAATCGCGCGTAAAAAGAGGGGCAAACTGACTCAAGGAGTGCTGCTCCTGCACGACAATGCGCCAGCTCACACATCCTAAGTTACGATGGCTGCTGCAACTGACTGCAGGTTTGAAAATGTTTTCCCCATCCCATATATTCTTCGGACTTTGCTCCATCTGACTTCTACCTTTTTCCTGAAATTGAAAACCAAGCTTCGTCGTAGATGTTTTTGAAGCATTGACGGTGTCAATGAGTTCTTGGAGGACCAAAATAGATAGTTCTATTTTGTAGGGTTAAACAAGTTGGAGCACAGGTGGGCAAAGTGCATTCATGTAGAGGGCGATTATATTGAAAAGTAAGACCATAAGTTGGGTTCTCTGACTACCGGAAGTACATCGAACCGAGAACTTTTTGATCAATCCTCATATATCTGAAACAATCAGAACAATTTATTGAAGATAGATAAATATAAAACATGTTTCTTTCAAAATTGATTAATAATAATCGCATTTTTGTTACTTTTTAATATCAATTAAGGTATTGTACTTAAATTCTCTGCTTTATTATAAATGATATTTAGTTATAATTGTACAGTAATTTATGGATTTATATTTTAATAGTCGAAATAAAACCATGAACTAGAACGATTGGTTGACATGGTGTTCTCAAAATGTATACAGACATTACACTAACAAAGTAATAGAATGAAAGTGTTTTTTTTTAAGTTTGCACAGTCCGTTGCATAAATTTGAATAGTTTTAACAATTTAAAGGAAATTATTTTCTATACTTTTAATTATTTTGTTTTTATGAAGTTTATCCAATGATCTTTTTGTTATCTTTGATAATTTAAAAAAATAGATAGCAACTGCCTAAAAAGTTGAAATACGAGGGGAAGTCAGAAAATATTCGGACTTTTGACTCGTTCTCGAAAACCATTCAACATGTTAAAAAAATCTTTCTACTCTTTTTCAAAATATTCACCACCTAAGTCTACGCACTTTTGCCATCTTCGTGGGAGCTTTTGTATTCCCGCTGTGAACCATGACGTAGACCTATGTTATAGGTACTGTGTAACAGCAGATATCAAAGCCGCCCTGGTTTTATATTTCTTTCCAGCAAGCAATTTTTTCAGTTCTGGAAACAAATAAAAGTCACAGGGGGCGAGGTCTGGGCTATAAGGAGGGTGAGGCAACAATTGCAATTTGTAAGAGTTGATAACCTCCACTGTAGCTGCGGCGGTATGGGAGGGGGCGTTATCGTGAAGAAGGAGGACATTTGGGACGCATTTGCTTCAGCTTTTCTCTGAGATTTTTCAGAATAGTTCTTCGCGGTGACAGTTTGACCTTTTGGCATGAAATGAGTAGGTATCATTCCTCGTGAATCCCAAAAGGCAACAAGCATGACTTTGCCAGCCGAAAGAGACAACTTAAACTTTTTAGGAGGTGGGGAACCAGCTCGTTTCCACTGCTTTGACTGAGCTTTTCTCTCAGGTTCGGTATAATCTCATCTCATCTCCAGTGATAATGCGGTTCAAACACTTATCTCCTTCACGATTAAAACGACTTAAATGTTCTTTTGCATTGGTTACTCTGGTTGCCTTTTGATCTGCGGACAGCTGTCTAGGCACCCACCTGGCACTTGCCCTGCTCTTGCCTAGATGTTCGTGTAAAATCTTGTGTGCCGATGCCTTACCGATGCTAAACTTGTTGGCTACCTCCTCCAAAGTTACTCGACGACCTTTGTTGACAAAAGCTTTAACATTTGCTACCATTGTTGGGGTCACCGGCTCAGCTGGCCGCCCAGTCCTAGGCCTGTCACAAACACTTGTTCTGTCTTCACGAAACTGAGAAACCCAGTTGTAGAAGGTTGAACGTGATACACATTTATCAGAAAATCTTTTTAAAAAATTCTGGAAACAAAGTGATTAAGCCTCTGAAAGATGTGGCAGGGCTTTTCACCTACTGCAACCAGAAACTTTATGACAGAGCGTTGTTCCTCTAACAAAGAGTCCATGATGGACGAAACACATATCATATATCAGAGGGCAAAATACTGTGTACACACATCTATCATTGAAAATAAACAGACCACGTTATTGGCGAATGAATGTAGTTTTCCCCAATATATAATGTGTGTATATAGCCGCACGTGGAAAGAGAGGAGCATGAAAAGTCCGGAAATTTTCTGACCGTCCCTCGTATAATTCTAACAAGATTCACACTATTTCCCCATACATTATTAGTATTACACGATATATGCACATCATAAGAAATGTTTACACGCCATATGACGTCGGATATGACGTCAAAAAATCAAAATGATGTCAGGAAAATTGCTTCTACGCTTAATGTAGTTCACCATATTTTTTATCAATTCTCTTTTTTATTAGCATATAAAAATGGAAATAGATATTATTTTTCCTGGCATTTAAGTACAAAACATATTTATACACGATATACCGTTCAAATGCTTTGTAATTACTTCGTGATTTTATATTCCTACTTATCTGAACCCAAATCGTGTAAGAATGGAAATATATAGATCTACTAATTTTACAACAGTACACATAAGATAGATATGTATTTCTTAATTAAAGTTCTAATAAATAACTTCCGTCACTTATTGCCTAGATATGGTTTTCCCTCAATTTTTAATTGTAAATACTAGTATTACAATTTTAGAGTTATAACATCTACAGGTCTTTAAAGTGTAGGAAGGGTAAGCATGGCATTTTAGTACTCGCATACTAATTAATACATTTCCATTTAAACTTTAGTTTATCAGGTCTCATCTAATTTGCAAAGTTTTATTTTGTTCAAAATAAAAAAAAATCTTCTAAAATGAGTTTTCATAGTAGATATAAACACGACGAGATATGACCTTAATGTTATAACACTTTGTTACTTATCCACAGATTGTTATAGTCGCCGTTAGTCCAACCAGCTGTTTGTATAATTTGTTGTATTCGGACATCAGACATTTATGCATTCATATTGGTGTATGAAGCTCCTAGAGTGTGTCAACCATATATCCTAATGTTTATTCCTGATAATAACTATCAGCCTTTCTTTAAGTGTTCTTATTATTTTAGTTTCATACAGAAAAGTTGCGTCTGGCCTCTTGAAAGATCTCATTTTCAGAAACCCTTCATCCTCTACAGCTTTCCCATTGCAAATGGATCATTACATTCAAAATCACCAAAAAGAACAATTCAAGAGATTCTTATGACAATTTCATTTTTATGCCCCCGCCATATAATGGCTGGGGCATATAGTGTTACCCTGTTCCGTCATTCCGTCCTTCCGTCATTCTGTCATTCCGTCATCATCAGTTTCCACTCATTATCTCCCAAACGGTATTACACATTCAACTTAAACTTGACATATGGCTATGTCATGAGAAAATACAGGTCAAGTTCGAATTTGGTTATGGTTTGATGATTTTTGGCAGATTTATGCCCCTTTTACTTTGAAAATAATAGGAAATTTTCAGTTGGCGCTCATTACCCCCCCCCCCAACGGTATTAAACATTCAACTCTACATATGGATACGGCAAAGGAATGCGCAGGTCAAGTTCTCATTTGGTCATGGTTCAATGAATGTTTGACAGAGTTATGCCCCTTTTACTTTGAAAATAATAGGAAATTTTCAGTTTCAGCTTATTATCTCCCCGACGGTATTACACATTCAACTCAAACTTGACAAATGGATACGTCAAAGGAATGCGCAGGTTAAGTTCGAATTTGGTTTTGGTTCAATGATTTTTGGCAGAGTTATGCCCCTTTCACTTTGAAAATAATAGGAAATTTTCAGTTTCCGTTCATTATCTCCCTAACAGTATTATTCATTCAACGCAAATTTGACATATGGATACGTCAAAGGAATGCGCAGGTCAAGTTCGAATTTGGTCATGGTTTGATGATTTTTGGCAGAGTTATGTCCCTTTCACTTTGAAAATAATATGAAATTTTCAGTTTCCGTTCATTATCTCCTCTAGGGTATTACACATTCAACTCAAATTTGACATAATGGATACGTCAA